TTTTCCAAATATTCCACCATAATAATTCCTTCTGCATCCCAGAAAACAGAAATTCCAAAAAAATTCTTTATCGGCCTGGAACTTTTGAAGATTCACCCTCGAAATGTCGACTCGTTTCTTTTTTTTGCTCGTCTGTTAACATTCTCGGTACCCAACGCGCAGAGACCTTTTTCATATGCATTTTGTTGACAATGATTTTTTGAACGCTGCCATAGGAGATCCCTGTGACCTCAGCTACATGCCTTACGGTCACCCTTCGATCGGCCAACACGATATCTTCCACTTTTTTTACGTTTTCTCCAGTAAGGGACGTGGAAGGGCGTCCCTCGCGATGTTTATCTTCAGTGGAGGTTCTGCCCAGCTTGAATTCCTTTGCCCAGCGTGCGACTGTGCAATATGGAGGAGCAGACTCCCCCAATGTTTCCTCTAAGTCGCTGTGTATGTCTTTGGTAGACATTTTTTTCAGGCAGAGGTACTTGATGACAGCTCTTATTTCATTTTTCTCCATTTTGATGTTTTCTCTTCGACAGTTCGTATTCAAATGAATGTATCTCCCGGTAATGGTGTCCTATTTATACATTTTTTTGAAGCTGAAGTAGTGGATATATAAGCAAGCAGAAAAAAAAAATTTGGGTTTTTGTGCGTTCTAGAAATACTCGATTATCATTACTTATTGATCACCCCTCGTAGCTTAACTGCAGAAATTGGAGACATTTGGTTACATAAACGTAAATTATTATTGTCGTACGTGGTTAACGCTGTATCAATTGTTGCTGTAGACAGATTGGACGTTGGTTATTTATGTTGTAAAAACAAAGAAATAAAATTCTTTGTTAATTTATTGTTGATTATTGTTATAAATTGTGTTTGAGAGTTTGCGCATGTAGTATTGTACGCTTGACCTTGCCGATTGTTTTTTAATAAGCCAATGCGATAAAAAATGTCATAGTTTAATCGCGCTTTGGATTTCTTTGTTCATACATGAGTGTGTCGACCTAGCGAATGCCTTGACATTTGTTGATGGTATCAGTGTTGGGTGAGCGCCAAAGTGCTACTCACACCCAGAAACGGCCCTTAAATACAACAGCATCTGATTCTTATAGGTTTTCAATTTCTGAACGATTTTAATCGGCATGAAAATCTCACAGGAGTTCAAAGGAAAGAGCGGTGATAAGAGGAGATAAAGCAATCGTCGAGAAAGACGTGGTCTTTAGAAAACATCTTCTTTTAATGAAATTTTGAAGGAATAATCCTAGTTTATTTGTAATAATCCTAAATATTGGATTCATATTCAACAGTTGCTAAGTTATCGAAGGTCAAGATTGCAAGTCACAGGGCCGGGGCCGATGAACCTGATGACCGCTCTCTCCGAGTCGCTCGGAGTCAGACTTCTTCAAAGCTCCGGTTAAACGTGCTCTTTTTTACTGGATGCCTGTTCAAATTATATCAGTTATATTGCTTGTTTGTTATTGTGCCACAATACATTCGCAAACATAATATTTGATTTATCAATAAGAAATGTTTATTATACACGTTTAATAAGTGTTTTAAGAAATAATCTGTCGTTGTTGATGTGTTTCAAGATGCGTAATATACTGATAAATGATACTTCAAAGTCCGATATGGATTAAAATCGATTTCAACAGATTGACCTTTGTTGCTGGATTCAATCGTGGGTAGTGTTGGTGTTTCATTGTTTTATTTTGTTTCATTCTAACTTGGAATGTTAGGATACAATTCAAATCAAGGTTTTGAGCATTTGTTTATTAGCCTTAAGGTAGTTAACTTTAAAAAAGTTTCACAGATTTCAACGATTGTATTCTTCATTTCTTATTTTTCCAACCTCAGAGGTGGTATTATTCTTCAAATTTAAATGGGACCCAAAAGGAAGTCTCCCCTTCCAAATAATAAAATCCAAATCGGTTCGTTAATGACGGAGTTATAAAGCAACAAACAAAAAAAAAGGAAGAGGAAGAAACTTTCTCTTTTTGAAGTCTGTCTGTGTGAAAAATTGCACTTCATTGTATGTAACCAAACATATATGTGAAGACAAATATTTTAACGTATTCTCTGTAAACAGGCGGATAGAAAAAACAGTAGATAAACACTATTGTTGGTGTATTTTATCTATTTTTTAATTACAAATGACATGCTAAAATGTACGGTTTACTGATGTGTTAACCGTACTTGCTCGATAATGGTGTTCGCAGACTGACGAGCCACTTAGTATTTTTTATGATGCTTAGTTTAAACAGACACTTAGTGAAGATTAGTGAAGTAATAAAGTATCCCACACAATATATCCAGTGATTTTATCTAAGTTGTTGTGTAAACACGTGGCTTGGCAGTTCGTTAACCTGTTGTTGTTTGTTGTGCGAACGCGCCATCTCTATGTGTGCGTGCCCCGTGCCGCAATCGCGACCTGATTGGCCGGCTCACCAGGAATAATATGGGCAGGCATTCGCCTAACTAGGAGTGCTTCAAATGCAGCATGAAGTGACCTTGTTTTTGTACCTATGTTACCTATGACGGGTTTGTTGTTGTTGTCTTTATAATCGAGTAGAAATTCTGATTATTTAACTACGGTAATCGTTACATCAGACTACAGATATAGCACTCGGATCTGGTTATTGTTTCATAGATTTATTCGCCTTTCGTTAGGGGCCCTCCATAAATTACGTCACACGTTAAAGGGGGAGGGGTAGTCGGCGAAGGGGTGGGAGGGGTCCTAAAGTTTGTGACATCACGTTTCAAAACCCAATATATCCAAGTATCATGTATCGAAATTTGAATTATTTACAGTACTACAATTAATTAGCTTATGTTTTTTTTCCAAATTTTTCCATTGATTTTTGCTTTATATTTAATTAAAATGGAAATACAGGAAGCCTTATAAATGTGACAAGGACGGGAGTGAGGGTAGAAAAACAGTGAAATTCGTGTAACGTGACATATGGATGACCCCTTATACTGAGTCGTCGTCGGTCGTCATCAACACAAATCCTTTCGAACACCGTCTCATTGCTACACGTCTTTGTTGCCAATAGTTGGTTCATACATTTGTGACCAACACGTGGCGTAGTATCGTTACAAATGTTTGACCTTGTGATAGACTAATCGTTCTCAGTAACAACTGTATACAAAATACGACCGTATTTTTATCACATGACGTTATATTTACGGGCGTATGATGTTAACGATCGAGACACGCAGTTTTCACGTCCGAATGAATTGATAGGGTTGCATGTAAATGCTGTTTACTTTTTACAAGGAGGTCATTAACATTATCATTGGTCTTGTTTTGTAATTTATCCACTTCATGTATTTGGCTAGCGTTCTGGTTGTTTGCTTTTATATATAAATTCTTTTTTGTTATTTTTGATGGTATAATCTTAGCCCTCTACTGTATATTACGAGTATAGAAGAATCTGTATTGTCCAACGTATTTTTAACAGGATGATGTTTCATGAAGCATTAAGCAATTATCCATTAACGTAAGAATTTTCTTCGTTCTTCGTAAACAGTAAAAACAATTTCTTTTTTTTTGTTTAATCTGTATAAATGGCATCCTGGCAATTACGGAAAACAAACCTGCGTGATTTAAGGCTACAGTTTTTTAATAAGTCAGTTTCACGATGTTTCCTTTCATGTCTTCAACCAAAACTCTCCGCCCGACGTCGATTAAAAGTAGCCTATGTCCTACCTCAACAATCCAAGATTTATATGTCAAAATTTCATTAAAATCGGTTTAGCGGTTTAGCCGCAAAAGCGTAAGAGCCAGAGTTACTTTCGAATTTATAATACATATCTATACTAATATTATAAAGCTGAAGAGTTTGTTTGTTTTTTTGAACTCGCTAATCTCAGGAACTACTGGTCCAATTTGAAAAATTCTTTCAGTGTTAGATAGCCCATTTATCGAGGAAGGCTATATATCATCACGCTAAGACAAATAGGAGCGGAGCACCAATGAAGAATGTTTCAAAAACGGAGAAAATTTATTACTATTGAGAGACGCAGACGAAGTTGCGGTATACATATCGGTGGGGATGTTTATGATTGACTACCCTTTACCATAAAACAATGTATTTCTAGTTTGTATTTGTTTGAGGTTATTTGTTAGAAATGGTAGTGATGCGTGTGGGATTCAATGACTGTCTGTGTCTCTCAGTGTAAGATTCAATTAGAACATTCACCACCTACGCTGAGAGCCAAGGTCTCTTGAACCCTAACCATGATCATAACAAGGCCTCTTATATCTTAACATTTTTTAGGTTCTTTTATTTTATATATTTACCATTTGACTATAAACTAACAAACCTGAACTAAATTTGTTGATAGCTTTAAATACTACCTAATGTTTTTTTAAATGCTGTGAATGTTTAAAAATGTAGTGAACGCACAACGCCTCTATTGACCCAGCATGCTCTTCTATCAGCATTAGTTTCTTTTTCTATATTTAGTATGAGTTTGCACACTTATGCATTGCAGCTTAAGATAACTAATAAAGCATATATAAAAACAATATGCAGGATAACTTTGTAAAAACCGAAGTCTTGAAACTCTTGTGTATGTGTGCAAAACTCGTGCTAATAATGGTACTAGTGGTCGTGTGCAAAATGTCTGTGATATACTATAACGTGTGACGTGTATTACTAACATACCTGTAGTTAATATAATACTGTAGTCATATTTTAGGGTCTAATTGTATACCCAGCAAATTACGTAAAGAAAGACAAATATTTGGCAAATTTGAACTTTCATACTGAAAGCTTATTTTGAAAGTGACGCTATCAAAATGCAAACGCTTTTGAAAACATTTTATTGTTCTATGATCTCATGATCGGAAAATTTATTATAAATTTTTTTTACTAATCGTTTCAACTAAAAACCTTAAGATATGACCACAACTTTCTTATACTCATATATACGAGTACGCACTCTGTATTTGATCTATATCTATATAAAATACAAAAAACTGATCATATATTATTGCACAGGTCATGGCAAAACCCACAAAGACGCAGCGAGCGTGCGCGCGACGCACCCAATCCCTGCCGCTTGTGGGCTGTACTACTTCGAGGTCCGCATCGTGTCAAAGGGCCGCGACGGGTACATGGGCATCGGACTGTCCGCACACGGGGTTAACATGAACAGATTACCTGGTGAGTGTCAGACACTGTCAGAGATAAATATTTACAATAAAATAATTTCGAAGAACGAAATATCGCAGGATCTGTAACGTAACCTTTACAAGGATTAGCAGTAAAGGAAGGAAGCAAAGGTGGTACCGTGATGTAAATAAATAAATAGCCTGTAAGTACTAAAGAATTGACGTAATAAATGCGAGACAATTTCAAATTCGACCGATAACTTCTAGGGAACAGGGCGTTCATTTAAAATCAAAACGGAGCATGAACATTGTAAAATGGCCGATCTTTAGTTTTATTGGTTACTCTCCTTAAAATTTACAATTCTCATTTTGTTCAGCAAATTGTAGCAAATACAGAATGCCAGAGATATGTATTTATGTTTTTATTGTCACGATTGGTTACAATATTTCTGTATTTATTCTCCTAATTTGTTATAACTTATGCCTGATAATTCGTGGTACATAATGAAAAAAAAATTGCTAGCATTTAAAAAGCTGGTTTGGGTCATATTGTCCTTTTGTCACGTGTAATGTTTACCTGCATATTGTGATGCGGTGCAGTGCCCAGGTAGTTGAAGTACAAAGGAAGCTGACTGAGTCATGAAACACAATGTCCGACTAATACTTGTTATTTAGTATAAGTTATATTAAACAACGTGGTTGTTTTTTTTTTCATTTAACGCGTCGATGTGCATCGCTGCTTTTGTGTATGGTACACAGCTCACAGCAGTGTGCAGAAAATAAGTAATACCACTGTTCAGAAGCCTCTCTCTTTATACAACGTGTTACGGCAAGGATGAAGTCATATAGACTGCCTTAATAACGGAAAGCTGCTTCTACTTCTGCGTGTGTTCATTTCACATGTCCACAGCACGATAATCTGGTGCTGGTCTCAATATTTCATCCAATGGTGCTACTATCGAGCTCCCTTTAACGTATGCATTCCTTACCTCAACATTTCAGTTTCATCTCTTATACGTCTTTTAGACTAATTTCAGATCCATGTCTAAAGCAGATCTGAAGATCCATCTCTGAAGATCTGGCTGTCCCCGTAATTTGCTGCTATTTCATCCATCTTGAATTGATTCCAGGCTATATATACCGGCTGTAAATACATTCTATTACTGGTTTAAAAGTATGTTAGCTAAAATATGGTTTTAAAATGATATTTCTGACATAAATGGTAGAAAACAAGCATACAATGGCCGTCTGACAGTAAGCTCTTTGAAGTGCTCGGCTCGCCTGATCAAAATTATGTTATATACTCGTATATCATCTAGGAGTAATCGACTTCAGTACCATCAGGATGAATTATGAGTCGGTTAACTCCAATTTAGGCATAACTACTGTGTTCCCATACCACATAAGAAGTTTTAACACATTAGGTTATCCGCAGTGCTACTACGTGCCCACACAATTCTTGTAGCTTGCCAAAAAACAAAACCAACATTGCATAATGCTGAACTAGTTTAGAACAATGAAAAAATTGGTACATAATTATAAGGTTAACCTAGTTTAGTAAGTCCACGTATGTATGGTGATAAGGCTGAATAAATTCACAACCTTACCAACAACATCTATGTGTTCTTGGCCCATGTTCCAGGTTGGGACAAACATTCATACGGTTACCACGGCGACGACGGCCACTCGTTCTGTTCTTCCGGCACCGGACAGCCCTACGGACCCACCTTCACTACTGGTGACGTCATTGGATGTGGCGTCAACCTTGTAGACAACACATGCTTCTACACTAAAAATGGACACCATTTAGGAATAGCATTCAGAGGATTACCGGTATGTATAAGGTGTTCTGTGTCAGCTCAATGATATAGATTGCACTGCACGGATGGTGTAGTGTGCTTTAAACGGTCATCAGACCGCTACCTACTGCGCTGAGTGGGTTCGATTCCCACATGGGACAACACTTTTTATGATCCACAAATCGTTGTTCTGAGTCTGGGTCTACATATTTGTCAAGTGAAGACACAGGATATATTCCTAGTGCGGGAGTTGACTTTTCTTAAAAAAAAATGGATGGTGCAGTAGAAAAAAAGGGTTTGGTTTTTGTTATATCTGCGTCATCTATTCTTACCAGAAGTGATTGGCATTAAAGGTTTCTATGAGGATATATTTAAAGATAATGTTCCTTATCATTTTTTCCCATATATACCAATTAACCAACTTGGGTATGGGAGCATACGAAAGGCTGTTAATCAGTGTCTATCAGCATTCAGCATAATAACTGAAGAGAGGAAGCATATTATCGTCCACTGGATACGTTGGAAATTAAAGATGAGTATATTAAAAGGTTCATAAGTATGGAAAGCAACAGAAAGAAAGAAAGGTTCCCAGAGCCCAAACCCTCCCTTCCCCTGACTCTTGGGAAGGGACTCAGAGGACGGTAGCGCACTGGTGACTTTTCAGTTACATTGGCAGCGGTAGTCACACACCATTAGGTCACCCGTCAGATCGTTTGCCTTGCAAATGGATAGCGAAGTGTAGGCAATAGCTGGGCTGGGCAATATATGTCAGGGTTGCACACACGCCAACTGGCTGACCTGACGATTATGGCCCTCCAAGATTTTTTTTTCAAGTTAAGAGGGGGCGGACAAGTAGACAGGTCACCTGATGAAAAGTGACCATCGCCGGCCATGAACGTCTGTAACTCAAGAGTCATAAACGCGTTGCCGTTACAATTTAAAATAGTCACTCCTAAATAATCTGTAATCCAGAGCCTGTGCTATGGTAACCAGACTGCTGAGAAACATAGTTACACATTTTGAAATACACACACATAAAAATACAGACACAGAACAAATGACCGTGCTCATCACACAGTATTTTTCCTGGTTGCGTTGGTTAGTGGTCAGGGTCACTAACCACTAACCCCCAACAGGCCCGTCTAAATACAGTTACCGTAACTCTTTTCTGTTAGTGTTATCGCTCAAATCCCAATTGTACCGTTCCAGCCAAACCTATACCCAACAGTGGGACTCCAGACACCCGGCGAGGTGGTGGACGCGAACTTCGGCCAGCAGCCGTTCGTGTTCGACATTGAAGATATGCTGCGCGAGCTGCGCGCGCGCACGCGCCTCGCCATCGACGAATTCCCACTACCTGATGACCAAGGACAGTGGCAACAGGTCTTACACAGGTAATCAGCATACTGTTTAAATTTTCCTCTTTTGTGATATCTAATACAGGAAGACTGCACGGATGACGTAGTGGTTTAAGCGGTCGCCCCGCCGCTTACTACTACGCTGAGTGTTGTGGTCCGATCCCCACATGGGACGACAAAAAAATTGTTGTTCTGTGTCTGGGTGTTCTTTGTGTCCGTTTCATGTATGTTAGTAAAGTCGCCCGCTACACGGGATTTATTCCTAGTGCGGGAGTTGTCTTTAAAAAAATATATACAGCGATATCTAGGCTCAAAATCTGCATAGCTTATACTTTAGTATAATGTGGTGACGAGGATGAAATATAAAATACATATCTTCTGCAAATATTTGTAGTGTCTGAGAACCGAACTTACGACTTCTCGTTATGACTAACGTTTTAAAAGTAAATCCTCTCATAGTTGTGTGTTTGTGGTTTTCAATTATCAGCACGAATCTTTTCAGGCTCTCCCCGGGTTATTAACGGTGCCCATTTTTGACGCTCATTTTAATCCGTTAATCATTTTTGTTTTGCATAACGCATTGTATTACAAAAATTAATGTTATGTGAAACTAATTTTTTCGTCTAGTCACAATCGCCGTAATTATTATGTATTTTTGTTCGGGTTACTTTAAATCGATCTCCAATGGACCGTCACTTAAATAAACACTGCTTTGTGCTTTTATCTAAAAAAATAGGCAGATAAAATAATTATAATTTCCAAAATAACCTGTTCAATTAAATATGTTTTTCTAAAATTGAGACCTCCCAGTGAAGACTTACAGGAATATTGATTTTACAGAAAGGTACTATGTTGGGTATTTCAAATTGGCTATAGGAGAATTTTGAGGAGCTATAGGAGGAGAATTGGCTATAGTAGGCCAAAACCTCCTTTCTAAGGAGAGGCCTATGTCCAGCAGTGGACTGTTATAGGCTATTGATGATGATGATGATGATAGAAGAATTTTACATATATATTGTAGACAGTCTTGGACCAGTATAACTTCAACTGTCACTGTATTGACTACCCATATCATGTCAGGTCGACATGTGTATGAACCCTGTAGCATTTTGTAGCTATTGTTGTATAATTTTAAAGATTTAAACACATATTTACTAAAAAAAATAGCTTTCTGCAGTTCTTCTGCATATAAACATATATTCCCAATTTAACACTCCTAATGTGTCCGAAATATTGTCCCCACAAAGATTTCTCCTATTTATCTCTCTTATAATCTACATATTTATATTCCAGGATGGTGTCGACATACCTAGTACACCACGGCTATTGCAGCACAGCACAAGCGTTTTCTCGCGCCACTGGCCAGATGATTGAAGAAGACATCGCCTCTATTAGAAATAGACAGAGTTAGTTCCAAACATTTTATTCTTAGATTTTACGCTTCGTATCTTTTTAGAAAAAATATCGATACTTAAATTGAAAAATAATAGGTTTGGTTGGAGCTAAGATATTCTAGTTCAAGCCCCGTTTCATTTCTACGCATGTAGAAGCTGTACGGGTGCGGACCGGCAACCGTGGTACACTAATCAGCACGCGTACTCGTACGTGTAACACTGAAAGCCTATTACAAGCCACCGTAATGAACCGAACAATACTCGTACTTACGTACGCCTTAGTACCTAAATCCCTAGATTCCCAAGCCCTTTTTTTTTTTCGTGCTGAAATCCCCTTGGATACCACCTATCGGTGGCATGTCGGACTCGAACCGACTAAAACCGCACGCCGTCTCGGGTACTGGCCTTACCTGTCACCCCCAGGCCTGCACTTATGGAGGACGGAGGTCGTTCTGCGACCTCCGGCGCCTGAGTCGCCTGCGGTACCTGGCCCGTTCCCGGGCCTGGGGGGCTGGGATAAATCAACATTGAAAAGTAATTGATTTGACGATAGCTAGGTATATGACGCCACGCCTTAGTATTTGATAGTAAAAAGTGTTGCGTCTATCCTATTGACGTCAAATAAAAATGTATTGATTTTACTTAATAGTCATCCATCCCATTATTTTTTACGTTATTTTTATTTGTTTTATTACCCCAATTATCGTTTTTTTATTTATTACCCCATTTTACGTTATTTTCACGTACTATCGGTCTCAGAGAAGACATTCTTCGGCACTGACATTTAACATCTATTACAGAAATGATAATTTAAGTGAATAATTTAAAAGTAAATTCCGACTAGCAATGATACCTGTCTCATTGTTTCGTGTCAAAAAGAACAACAACTTATTTCATCAAATAATTAACATTTTTATGTTCTCAATAATTTCCAGGAGTATCGAAACTGGTAATATCGGGTCGTATCGGCGAAGCTATCGAGTTGACCCGCTCCCTGTACCCCGGTCTACTGGAGAGAGACCTAGACTTGCTGTTTCTGCTCAAGTACAGACAATTCGTCGAGATGGTCAATGGCTCCGATTCTGAGGTATAATATTTAATTCGTTTAAATACATTTTATGTTATGGTGGTTTTAGTATCTATGAATGGTAAACTTTTTGTTTAGTATTTGTTAGACAAATTTAGATCTGTTTAAGGATTTCTTTAAAAAAAGAAAACATGTTGTATTGTTAGTAATAAAATTTAAATAAATAATAAATCCATTGTTTATTATAATTATTATTTGTGATCAGTTTGTTTAAAGGCTAACTAACTGGCTGGCTAACTATTGCGTTTAGTAAGGAAATTGTATTTTGCCATATATTAAGTTAACATTTCAATAGATCAAGACTATTTATTTCAGTGGTTTCCATATTACGACACTACTTAAACAACTGAAATTGTGTCATATGTACAGTTATAAACTTTTTTAAATCTTCCATCAATAAAAATTCTAAGAGCCATGTTTGGACAAAAAAAAACCCCTACTGGAGTGATACCACGATCTCACAGAAAACCGGTGTTAAGAATCTTTCCTTGCTCTTCATGTGTGAGTTTACCGGAGCCGAAATCTCACCCTGATTCTGGGGGGGAGGGTTCTCACAGACCGTTAACGTATTTATTTATTTATTTATTTATTTATTTATTAGGATCTCCTACGAAAGATATACACAAGTAAAAAAAACAGTAATTAACGGAATGGGTTTAAAGTCGGTGTACTCCTTCACTTACAGGAGACCACAGCAAGCACAGTAAAAAAAAAAATAATACCATCAACCAAGCGAACAAAGTTACAAGCGATGTTTGAAATTTAAATTATTAAAAGTAACAAAAAATATAATTAAAAAATTGTTTTGATAAAATTAAAAAAATACGAAATAAAACATAAAATAATATAATAATAAAAAAAAAAACGTTGAGGCTTACATTACATTAAAGCTGTTAAGCATTTCTTATATTTAGACAAACATAGGCATATATCTAATTCAGTCGTTTTGGCTAACGTGTTATATTGCCTACAAAGTCTTGGCACAGCAGCGTAATGACCCAGGTTTGTATTAGAGCCAGGAATGTAAAATAGGGTAAAAGTGTTATGCCTGGGGGTCCGAGTTGGAATTTGAATAGACAATGAGCTCAAAAGCTCACTGCAATCTATTGATCCGCTTAGTACCTTGTGAAGGATAATTAAGTCCAGCTTCTTCCTACGACTAGCTAAAGTATCCATATTATAGTGTCTCAACCTGTCAGTGTAGTTCGTAAGTTGCTTAGCTAAGTGATCACCGTAGCACAGGTGATAGAGGAACCGCTTTTGAACACTCTCTATCCGTTTGGTGTATACCTCGTAGTGCGGATTCCATACCACTGAATTATATTCTAAGATAGGGCGGACTAATGTGTTGAAAAGCCTGATTTTTGTAGATGGGTTCTTAAATTCTTTACTGTTTCGCAAAACAAAGCCCAGTGCTTGAAAGGCCTTCTTGACAACATTTAGAATGTGGTAGCTAAACTTTAATGCTTGGTCGAGTTGAACTCCAAGGTCACGCACACTTCCCTGTCTCTCAATTTCAATACCCTCAATGTAGTACTTGTTGTCTAACGTTTTCTTATTACGTGTGAACTGAAGATAGTGACATTTAGTGACATTTAAAGACATTTTGTTAAGTTTACACCAGTTTATAAGGCGGTCAATGTCTTCTTGAAGCATTTTGGAGTCCAACATGCTTTGTATTGGCTTCATTATCTTTAAATCGTCAGCAAACAGGAAATACCGGCAGTGTTTGAAGCATTCAGTTATGTCGTTTATAAAAACGTTGAAAAGAATCGGACCCAAATGCGATCCTTGTGGGATTCCTGACGTTGCTAGAAAGCCTTGAGAGAAGTGACCGTTAATTACCACTTTTGACTCTCTGTTTACAAGGTAAGATTGAATCCACCCAATCAGCGTTCCCCCCACGCCCAGTTGAGCCAATTTGAGAATAAGAAGGTGGTGATCTACTTTATCAAATGCTTTGCTGAAATCGGTGTAGATGGCATCTACCGGAATACGGTTGTCAAGACTCTTAGATAAAGCTGATGTAAAACATAATAGGTTGGTATTGGTTGATCTAGATTTAACGAAACCATGCTGTTGTTCAGCTATGTGTGGTTTAAGGTACCACATCAGATGTCTGCATACAAGTCTTTCAAACACCTTGCCAAATGTCGTTAAAATTGAGATTGGTCTATAATTAGCTACTAGATTCTTTTCCCCTGATTTAAATATGGGTATTACAAGAGCTTCTTTCCAGGTACTAGGAAAGATACTGTCGCGTAGAGATTTATTAAATATTGTTTGTAGGGGTGATGCTAGAACTTTTGCACAACGTTTTATGAATACAGGAGGAATACCATCACTACCCGCACTCTTAGTTTCATCTAATCCTATAAGTTCGCTGTATATTTCTTTGGTTTCAAACTGTAGATTACAAAATGCTGCAGACGTGATAACTTGCGAAGTGTTCGCGGGACTTGGGTACTTATCGTCAGGGGTACTAAAGTTCCCAGCGAAATTATTTCTAAACATATTACAGATTTCCTTTCCGCCTACTGCGATTTTGCTATCCATAGACATTTGCGCCGGATATGTACTACTAACTTTTCTTTTACTTTTTACAAAAGACCAGAATGTTTTAGGGTTCTTGGTTATGGCGTTTTCTATATTTGCAATATAACTCTTGTAGCATGCTGAATTCAATACCTTGCATTCATTCCGTAACTCCTCAAAAGCCACTTGGTCTAGTGGATTTTTGTATTTTTTAAAACGGACGTGGTATTTGTATTTTTCTCTAAGAAGTCGTATCATTGCACGAGAGTACCATGTATTGATAGTGTAGATGATTGTTGGTGTAGTGGTTAGTGACCCTGACTATTAAGCCGGACAAATATTGTGTGATGAGCACGATGATTTGTCCTGTGTCTGGGTGTAATTTATCTATAATATGTATGTATTTAAAAAAAGTATGTTTATTAGCAGTCTGGTTACACAGACTCTGTCTAGTTTCTGAATGCACGGATGGCGTAGTGGTTTAAGCGGTCGCCACGCCGCTTCCTACTACGCTGAGTGTTGTGGGTCCGATCCCCACATGGGACGACACTGTGCGATTCACAAATTGTTGTTCTGAGTCTGGGTGTTCTTTGTGTCTGTTAAGTCTTCGACATAGTATATATTCCTAATGCGGGAGTTGTCTTTTTAAAAGAAAGTTTGGAATAAGACTGCCGTGTGTTAGATGTATTGTATTTAAGTTATTGTTATTTGAGAGTTTTTGACTTCCAAGTGACCTTATGTGGCAGTCATCATCTGAGGCCCAAGTGCGAATTTATGTGTGAAATGATGTGAAATGAACTCACACTTCGCCCTCAGATGATTAAATCGCTCGTTTGCCCCCTTATCATAAAAAGGAAACAATTATCAACATTAAGTAATTTCTTAATGTTCAACAAAGAATTATCTTTTGTTGTTATTTCTCAACAATTTGCCGTATCACTTTGAAGTTTGTAGATAATAAATATTGAATGAATAATGTGTGTCCGGTCCGCTATGGTCCGTGTGGTGACGGATTAAGAATACAGAGTGTCACCACCCCTATTCATCCCGTGGGTGTCGTAAGAGCCGACTAAGGGAAAAAACTACGCAGAATAACAGCACTGCAGAGAGAAGGAAAACTTGACACAAACCCTATACCAACCCGTCTGGCCAGCGTGGTGTAGTAGGCCAAAACCTCCTTTCTAAGGAGAGGCTTATGTCCAGCAGTGGACTATTAAAGGTTGTTGATGAATGTGTGTATCTATCATATACTTTAATGAATATGTTCCCGTCCCGGCAGGTGTGTGGCGAGAAGGGCGCGGCCAGTAACGGCGTGGCCACGTCCGTCATCTCGCACACGTCGTGCGCGCCCTCCGCCAACGGACTGCGGGACAAGCAGCCCAACGGTGAGCTCACACGTTCTAAGGGGTTGCTCCTGCGCTGAGTGTTGTGGGTTCGATTTCCATATGGGACAACACTTTGTGTCATTCACAAATTCTTGTTCTGAGTCTGGGTGTTCTTTGTGTTCGTTTTATAGATGTTTGCGACACAAGATGTATCCTATGCTAATGGTTTTTAAATAAAACATACCGATATCGTCATGTTGATATTAATTACCGTATTGTAATAATGTTAATTTAATGATGTGTTGAATCCGTGTGGTAACGGATTAAGAATACAGAGTGTCACCACCCCTATTCGTCCCGTGGGTGTCGTATGAGCTGACTAAGGGAGAAAACAGAACAACAGCATTGCAGAGAGAAGGAAAACTCGATACAAGCATATACCAACCGTCTGGCCAGCGTGGAATAGTAGGCTAAAACCTCCTTACTGAGGAGAGAACTATGTCCAGCAGTGGATTGTTAAAGGCTGTTGATGATGAATGGTGTATTAGTTGGATCGATAAGATCGATCGTAAAGATATTTTCCGGTGCAAAACTATAATAATATAAATTTGAAAGTCAGTATGTCGATGTCGTATAGGCTCTCCTTATGTATTTATATCTCCGTGTGCGCAGGCGCAGCAGAGGGCGGCGCGGCGGAGGGCGGCGCGGGCGGTGTTGGGGGCGCGGGGAGTGCGGGGGGCGCGGGGGGCGCGAGCGGGGCGGGGGGCGACGTGGAAATGACGCCGCCGCACGCCAACGGCGCGCACGCAGGTACGCACCACACCCACTGCTACCGCTCAGAGCGGCCCATGTTCCTCTATTCTTTTCATTTAAACTCGCCCGAACCCCAAAATATCTGTTAATATAAACTATCTTAGACTCACTATTTTGTACCCGAAGTGGCGTAAAGTATATTTAAGTATGATTTTAAAATACGATCGACGAAGAGATTATATTATTAATTTTATGTACCCGATTGTTTAATTATAAGTCTTATTGTAGAATATTTATTTATTTGCACACCATTATCGTTCATTATTACTTATTTAGTGACATTTATCATTTTTATTATTATTCGCTGGTTTATTTTAGTTTGCATGAAATTAACCCGTAGAAGAGTACTCGTATGTATTATAAAAAAATATTTACGCTCGCTCCGTTAACCGACTCGATTGAACTACTCTTTAAACTATAAATTACTACAAATTTTTATTTTGTTAAAAACTATAAATAAAATTTTATTTTTATTCACGCTTTTATTAATAATTTAACCCTTTTTTCGGTTCACTGATTATTTCTTTCATAATTCGATTACTTTCGAATAATTGAATTATTAAATATTTTCAATTCGCTCATTGGTAATGAAACGTGGTATCTACAAAAAAAATTTAGTCGATACCAAAATTATGTCTATAATTTATATGTTAAATATCTTTAGATAGTATCGAACGAAAAAAAAATTTACGTACAAAAAGGTAATTTTCTTTATTACTAACGCGACACAACGACATTAAACGTACCAGTGAGAAGTATAAATCGACCGATTTAGTATTTTTATTCTGGCAATACTGTGTGGATGCAATTAGACATTGGTAACATTTAGTAAGTGAGCATGTGTTTAGTCTAACTTTGAACTCTTGCTTCTTTTACTAACCGCTCATGTAACATCGCATTTAGAATCGAGGTCACTCATCGGCACTTGGAAGCATAATTTTTTAATTTTATCTTTTACGTTTAGTTTTGAGATGGTTTGCGTGAGTCATCGCTTACGCATGATGAGAGTAACGGAGACGCAAGTTATCACTAGTAACGATAAAATACAAATTCATTATTGACTTCAGGGGAAAGTGAGATAATTTCGGAAATATTTTTTATTTTCCTAAACAAATATTCCATCGTTATAACTTGTATCTCGAGCACGCTACTGCTAAAACTGAGTCGTGACAGCGACCGCGTGACAGACAGCCACGCACTGTCTGTAGCGGTCGCGGTGCACGCGGCGGGTGGGCGGGGGGGGGGGGAGGGGCTCACCGGGGGCGATGACGTCACGGTGGTGACGAGCGTGTTGGGCGTGCTTGTAGGTGGTCCGTGGCCGCTGGTGAAGGGGATGCCGGGCGTGACGGCCAGCATCGCCGCGCTCATGCCCGACTTCCACGCGGGTGGGTAATCACTTGTCTTCTGTGTTCACTTTACCTCCGCTCTGGTTCCGCACTTTCCTTTCTTGATATCCGACACTCACTCTTTGTTACGTGTTACTGGACAAGGATAGATTTTAACTAGATCGCTTAAAGGGCTTGGTTTTCGAAACCTTTATAAGAAGTTCCGATACAATTCGTGTAGATAAAATTCAAACTAAAATAACATCTCTAAAATAAAAAGTTTAATACAGTTATAAGCCTATTCAAATAATTAAAATATACAATAAGTCTATAATAAGTAATTTTTCAACTCCAATTTAAATAAACAATATTCGTAATTGAAAGTGTTTAGAGCAATATATGTATATAATATGTTCTAAAGAGTAATTTTTCAATTTAATAAAGATCTTAAAATAAATGGTTGTAACAACAGGCATTTTACAGTCAATAAACCATCGTAATTAAGATGTGATAACAAAAACATATTTAAAATATGTGTAATCGTTAATCCAAGTTCTAAACGCATGTACTTACATTATTAAGGTATTTTTATTTCATAAGATACGGTCATATTTTACTTATTGCGCCGATTCCAAATAAATTCGGAAAAAAGGCAAGAAGATGGCCATATTTAAATTTTATAGTAATGTATATTACAAATTGTACCTTCTTATTTAGGCAAGAATAGATCTTAAAAATTAGAAAACTGTTTTAAATGGTATTGTCTCTCACTTATACTTTACATTTATATACTTAAAAGTAGAAAACCTTTTAAAATAACAACTGAGGAACCAGAGTAAGCCTTTAATATCATTGCTTCGAGTTCTGTAGACACGCTCATGGCAGTTGTCACTCGTAATATCTCATTGCTAGCAACTCCCACGCATTCGTTTTACTCCGAACACTGGATCCAGCTGGCTACATTCCTGACTGTACCCTGTGCGCTTGTCATATATAAAAATACTCCTTTTGTTCAATCCGATCCATTTGGGCTTCGACCCTTGCAACTAACTTTACGTTTAAGCACCATAGTAGTGTTGAAACATTGTAGAAAATGAATTACTAGAAAATGAATGTATATTGTATCCACTTATACAGAAATCGGTCGGTAGATCCTTCATGATGCACCTGATCATTATGACAATAGGTATTAGTGGGCTGGTCTTTCCATATTTAAAAATTAAATTATTATCAACTTGAAATATTTATTATTATCTTTTTTGCACATGCACAGCTAGTGAGTACCATTAACACGGTTTTACCCACGTTTATGGTTATTGCTCCGCTCCTCAAGTTCGTAGCGTGATGTTTTATAGCTAATGTTATTTCTGAAAAAGTACTTTATCCAATATAACAATAATCATTGAAATCTGGCTGCGAGTTTAAGAGATTATCGAGTTTAAACCAACGGATCAAAAACTCTGTAGGTGTATTAGTTTAAATTTCTTTCAGATTTTAAATTTTGATAGTACTTCCCTTAAACGAATTGTAAAATGACATATGTAGGTATACTAGGTGGTATTGAATAATATTGGTGGATTAGAAGAACACTCTGCCAGTAACATTTTCTATAATGTGGACATAATGTCTTTTATTAACATTTCCTGTTCCAATGTTTGCTGTCACTGAAGTGGGTAGTTGTAACTTTCAATTTGTTTTACTTGTGGTTCGATAAACAGTAAGTACAGTGTTGTACAGGTCAATTAGCTTGGAGAAATTTTTGCGTTTGTAGTAGTGTATGGTCGTGCGTGTTTCCACTTTCCACTATCAAGTGACGATTTTTTGCTTTAGATTGAAATATCTCGGAAACGGTGCGTCCAAGGCCAAAAATAACAAAAATTTTGACCCCCCCGTAGACCCCCCGGAGTTTTAAAAGCCTAAATGAAATGAAAAAAAAATATATATATCGGTCTCTCCTCTTTGAAGTTTCACTTCTATCGTGTGTGAATCGCACACACACCTTTTTTTTTACAAAGTCAAAACCTTTTTCTTTAAAATAAAAACTTGTTTCTATTGAAAACAAAAATCAGAGTGTTGCTAGGGATAAGTATAAAATTAAATAGTAATGTTAGGATATCGAAACATTTTTGTATAGGCCAGAACGATATAGTGATAACGCGCTCTAAGATCTGAGTAATATACACACCACTACATATGCAAAAATTTCTCGAGACTAATTTCACTGTAGTTCCTTTTATTTCTGTTACCATTTCACAGTTGACAACTTTGTTTGGTAAATTTAGCAATTTACTAGACAAAGTACATTTTTGGTTTAAGAATGTCCAAAAATATATATTTAAAAAATAAATATGTCAATACAAATAAATTTGACTTAAAATTGAGACGTTCTGAAACTGATGTTGTATATAAATTCGGACTTAATTGCGTTGAAATTAATGATTATATTTGCGAAGTACTAAAATTAAACGCTTTTAAGAAAATGTGCCGATTTATATGTACAATATGTAGTTATGAATAACTAGCTGACCCGCGCAACTTCGTCTGCGTCTCTCAATAGTAATAAATTTTCTCCGTTTTTGAAACATTCTTCATTGGTGCTCCGCTCCTATTGGTCTTAGCGTGATGATATATAGCCTATAGCCTTCCTCGATAAATGAGCTATCTAACACTGAAAGAATTTTTCAAATCGGACCAGTAGTTCCTGAGATTAGCGCGTTCAAACAAACAAACAAACTCTTCAGCTTTATAATATTAGTATAGATTATTTGCAATATATATTTATATACTTAAGAATATATTTACAAGTATCATATATATTTAAGTATGACTCTCAGTAGATACCTTAAAAAGATAAAAGAATGGATGAATGGGGAAACCTACAGGGTCATATTATATTATAATATTGTCATTTATCTTTAAATCAATAAGAGAAAGAGTTTTAATGACCTGTGCATATTGGGAAGGTCTAAAAATATATAGGGTCCAAAAGGGGTCTTTCATCAAATGCTGAAGTGACCATATGTTAATTTCGGTCATATGACTAGTTCCACTGTTTTTTTTAGTCTTTGCCCAAATGGGACGAAACCAACCAATCGCCATCACGTGTATCTACTGGAGAGGCCTTGTGTAGTAGTGTTGCATGCATAGACGGAGCATGTAGGGGCCCATAGGAGCGGAAAAATAAATATTTATGGCATGATTTGAGTAACGCTTCTTATTACACTTGTATATTACTATATATAGTATCTTTATGTATACACGACATTGCCGGCAGGTGGCAACTTTGTGCATGAGGGACACGAGACTGATACCTACCTTCCAAATGAGGTCGTTGTTTATATCCACCGAACACGGTTTTATTTTGTCTCTAAAGCACTTGACCTTAACTCATCTCTTTCGCCGGTTTCTTCTGCGACAATATAGTGTTCAATTTTTTTTTTCTTAGTTTTTTTTACTAATCTGTACATAATATCGTGGCGGAGGGACTTTAGTCGTTATTCATTACATTGTAGGTACTAATAAAGACTTTATATAAACTGTTAAATGTAAGGTCTATATTAGCTATGACTACAGAGTATTACAAAATAGTGTGTACTTAATTTAACATACAAAAGTTAAGTTATATTCTAAGGAGGTGTCAAGTCTAGTAACTCAAGTGTGAAATGTGACAGCTGGTTGACAGTTTAGCTTTTTTAGTAGGGTCATAGACAATGTTTTTTTTTAAATGTAGATAATCTTTAAGATTAATCGACTATTCCGTAACATAAGTCCTTTCGTCATTTTATTTAAGCGTAATTACAGCCAATAGATAAGCTATCATTTTTTGATCTAAATCAAAATAATTAGATTGGAAATATAATATTAATTTTGTATATTCATTCATATCATTTCATATTTGGACGTGGCGAGTGTGTCCAGTCTGATATTTTGGCTAAGATACAATTGGTAGTGTTAAGTACAGCAGTGTGGGTGTGGGTACTGAGCGTTGTTCGTGCGCAGAGGGCGACGGCAGCTGCGGCACGCGCGCGTCCGTGGAGCGCATGCTCGCCTTCGGCCGCGAGCTGTACGCCATGAGCCAGAAGCTGCAGCAGGACCAGATCGTCAAGTCCATGCTAGAGGTCAGTTATAGCCTATTCTTCTTTAATACCCTTGTTGACAGTTGTTTTTTTTTTATTAAATATCAAAACGAAAACTTTCGTTAGAAAAGGTCGGAAGTGCTAACTTGTGACGTCACCTCGTGCTAGCGCCATGTTTTAATTTTCTATTTGAGATTGTCTAAAGTATTTTTTTCTCATTGTAGAAGAATAAATGTCCATTTTTGAATATCTTATGAACACTATATAGTTACTGAGGTTGTTCGATGACGGTGTATCACAAGTGAGAGTATTTTCCAGGACGCGTTTAGTCTACTCGCGTACAGCAACCCGTGGGACAGTCCCGTGGGCTGGCAGTTGGAGCCCGTGCGGCGGGAAGCCGTCTGCGAAGCGCTCAATTCCGCTATACTCGGTACGTACAACAATGTGGTGTGATACGATCGTTTTGCCAGCCCCCGGCTGACCGACCGGATGTATAAGAACCGTTCCCTTCGTGTGGTACAGAGGCCCAGGGCATGAAGTGGATCTCGCCGGTGGAGGCGTGCGTGTCGCACTCGCGCGAGCTGCTGCGGCGCATGTCGCGCGGCGGGCTGGGCGCCTGCGCCTTCGCCGAGCTGGGCGCGCTGCTGCGGCGCTGAGGGGGGGGAGGCCACCAGACGGACGCTGAGACTCCAGATCATAGGTCGTATCGAGCGAGCTAATGTGCCGCGGGAACACTGTTGTTGTAATTATTTTGTATTTTATTTTCGTGTACATTTTAGTGTTCGGATGTTCGCGTTTTGTATATAACTGTGTGCGCGGGCCCCGGTGCGTCGGATGTGTACAGTCGATTATTATCAGCATATTTTTATAAATTTATGTTTATGACGCGTCGAATAACGTTTCGTAGCGGCCGTACAGGTAATCGTAGCAGTTAAATTTTAGTCAGCGATCGACTAACTGACTAATGTTTTTTAAAGACTCGACTATACGGCAACAGTGACTCCGCTAACGTTTAATATAGAGATTTATAATATACGAAGAGTGTAGAGACGATAAGATTATGAATACGATATAGAGCTGGTGCATCTAGACCATACTGAGTAACGACTAGTATAATACTCTGTGGCTTAGAACCAAGTCCAATTATAAATATATTAATATAAAGCTACCACTCGCAGTGAAGCGATTTTACTTATTTATCTAAGAGTTCCAGTACATTATATTGGTACTTGGAAGTCTCCTGGATAAAACAATCTTTTGTCTCACCACAGACTGTACTTGTATATAATAGGTCTATTTAAAATAATATGTGAAGAAACTAAACTTTACAATTATTTAGTCTTTTACTGACTTGGTGACCGGCTTGCGTTTCGCGTATTTGTAAAACAGAAAAAACTGAAGAAACCAAAGGATTGGATGGTCTTAATATTACGACTTTTTAATCATTCCATTTCTAGAGTAAAATTGTATCACTGCAATGATCGTATCGCATGTGTTCATCTTGATCAGTGTATCAAAAGTCATCTTCCTCCCTCTTCCAAACTTTCTCTCTCTCGTGTTTCCTCTCAACTCGACTCTGTCTACTCTCATATCTACTATATATCTACTCTATACCTATACGAACGATACTCTATATCGAATAACACTGCAACGCAACTGTTACACTGCACGGTACATTTTTAAGCCACGCCCCCTGCGGTACAGTTTGCATGCTACCTTTCGAGTTTGAGTTGTCTTCACATATTATTATTAGTTTATAAACGAACGCAATGGATACTCGGTACTTAATTAGTTCCCGCCCGAGTTCAAAATAAAATGGTCTAAATGCACTAGTAATAAGATCAGACTGAGACATGGCATTGTTCGAGTATTTTAAATACAAACAAACTTATACACGATAATCATTGTATGGTACTTATTTCGTAGAGAGCAATAATCTTAGTGCCATCGTAAGTTAATCAAATGGTGAATATATGTACTAGATGTATTTGTTTTAGGCCTATGTACTAAGGGCTTATAACATGACGTGTGGACTTTACAGCTTGTTGAAGAAAAGTACCCTATAAGTTACCCGATTAAGGGCCTAACCAGTTTACGATATGATTTTTAAATAAACTGGTTTTAAAATGAACTTCAACACGGTTCAGTTAAAAGAAATGATTTTTAAAGTCTTCTGCTTTTAGATTTGCTTTAGTGGATCACAACAGTCGAGAAGTTTGTTCTACGAAAACTCTTTTTAAAATGTCCAATTTATTTGCTGGCTGCAGTGTAATATATGTAAAAAGCTACAAATACTTTTCTAAGGGTATTTTAAAACGAATACTCTTATTTTCTATTTGAATATTACTTAATAATAATTATACGGAACCCTGATATAGGGCTCAGTGTGGACATGACATGTCGTAACTTCTAGAACCGTTGCGTCATACTTTTGGTGCCGCAGCATAAGGGTGTCAATCATATTGCGTATCTGTAATCATTTAAAACTCGCGACGTGCGGTGAGTAACGTTGTCTGTGACTGGTCTTGCATTAAACGAATAAATATATTTCTTGATAAACTCGTGGTTATTTATTGAAGGGATATTGAAGTTACTAAATAAATCTGAATGGTTTTAAAACACAATTTGTAATGAATGAAAGCCAGATTGGCGAGTTTTTGTAGTTTAGTGTATAAGTTTGTATGTAAAGAGTGAAATATTAGTGTTACTGGTAGGGACGTGACGGAGCCTCGGTTTCATTAATGTTTGCTCGTGTATAATAGTAAATCGACACTCGACATCGCCAAGCTAAGCCTCGTGTAATATGTTCTGTAAAGATCAGTCTACAATATTGTTCTTATATTGTATTGTTTTCTTTTTTAATAATATATTATGTTTAAACTGCTTACATGACTATCATTTTTTTTCATCCCAAACAGCTAATCATGCAACCCCCCAATCCCAACAGTGTAGTATGCCCAAGGAAAAACTAAAGGAATACATAGTCTTTTATTAAAGACTTCCCAGGAATGGTTTGTACGAGTGTACCAATCATTCCTGGGAGTCTTATTAAAACAGGAACTCTCCAGTCCTGCCCTATTTACTTTAAATAACATCATCATCAACAGCCTTTACTAGCCTACTGCTGGACATAGGCCTCTCCTTAGAAAAGAGGTTTGTATAAGTAACGCATTAGCCAACTTCGGCAAAGCTATACGCTGTATCAAGACAACTTGCAGTATTTGGGCCAAAAGCCATCTAATCCGGCACTGCCCAGCAATATGTTCCCCCCACAATGGTACCTTAAAAGCGTGATACAAGACAGGGATGTCATTACCCAAAAGTTACTTTTTTCTGCCTAGAATGGATTTCATTTTTTTTCAAAGACCTGGAGTAACATAGACCACCGTAACATACTCTGCCGCCATTCTCTATGATTGGCCCAAGAGCCCACGACGGCCAGACCTTCATTATTTTATAAAAGCTGAAAGTTTTTTAGGGTACATACCCTATACAGGTAAAAACGACCAGCGACTACAGACTTTGGGTTGTGGTTGCAGGGGGTAGCAACTGTCATAAGTGTCCGGCAATGGATGACGAGACTTCTAAAGTTGTCCCGAAGAAAATATTTAAAAAATGAGCTTTATTCTTTGACGAATTTAAGGTACTATTTTACTAACTATTTTATTACCTTTACTACCTGTTACCTACCCAAGTAACCACAACCCAAACTATAGTCGCTGGTCGTTTTTACCTGTGTAGGGGAAAGGCACAGGAAATCTTTCAGCTTTTATAAAATAATGAAGGTTCGGCTGTCATGGGCTCTTGCTCTAGATCATCAGAGCAAAGGGTCTATTTGTCAATATCATGTCATCATGTCATGTCATATCTTGGCGACTGGTCATTCTTGGTCAAAGAGGGAAATCGGTTTGTTACACCGAATGAAGAAACCTCTGGGTTTGCCGGCGGGTTCAAGGGATTCTCTCCGAAGATAAACGAGGGAAGTATATATCTGTTCAAAAGCCAGAAGACTTACAAAGATAGATAGTAGAACCAGGTCTGACCTAATAAATACCATTTGGCTTCTGTCGGAAATTACAGTACGCTTAAAATGCGTTTTGTACGATACAACCTCATTAACAACGAAAAACTTTATCAAGCTAGGTACTAGATTCTCAAAATATGTTTACCAAGGAAATGGGTTACTTAAGATGTTTTCACGGCACGAATAAAGGTCTTCTAGAGACACGTCGTAAGTTTACAGCTTTCGTAGGATGCTGCTTCAGGCTGTTTGCCCCAGCAGTTGTTTGTGTTACATGATAATGGTGGAAATTCTGTTGTTCGAAAACTCTAAACTAAACTAAAAATCACTAAAAATTTGTTTAGTTCTGTCAAACAACGATTCTTAATATGAAAACGTAGTACCCTTGATAGGAATAAACTAAGTTTTAGTGATTTTTAGTTTAGTTTAGAGATTTATCGAACAACAGCATTAGCACCAACAAGTGATATTAAAATCAGCTCTTTGTTTTCGTTCCGATCACAATGAGAAGATTTCAATTTTCTCAGTAATAATAATAAAGCTGTCTGATCCCAAACTAGGCAGAGCCTGTACTGTGGTAACCAGACTGCTGACAAACAACAAACATACTCAAAAAGTTATAAATACATACATATTCTGAATTATATGTTACGTTTCTAACGGAACAGACGAACAAACTCTCGTAATAAAAGTTCGATTACAATTGAGTTTCGATTTACTTTCGATCTCTTAACTGTCATAAAAGGTATTTTCGTAGTAAATTAGTAAACCTCCGACGTTTACTGTAATTTGATTATATCGTATTGTAATCGAAAATTGAATCGGCAATATGGTTGTCTTAATAATACTTTACTATTTTACTATGTAAATACCTTTTATGACAGTTGCGAGATCGAAAGCTGATCGGAACTGAATTATGATCGAACTTTAATTACGAGAATCGGCCTTCAGAAAGTTATTTTACAGTCCTGGACCAACTTTGAAGAATTGTGATATACAAAGGGATCTTATGTTAGAATAGATCATAGGGTAGGTAGGTACATTATGGTTGGATAGTGACTGATTATATAGTTGGGAATCATTCTACAAAGACGATGTTGCATTCAAGCTACATCAGCTAGTACTTAACAAATACACAATTGATATAAAGACAATGAATCAGAATTACCTACATTTCATAAAATATCACCAACGCTAAAATATGGTGTTATTTATGGTAATCTCTTAATACATACGCGAATTTATAACGACTTTTAAAGATAACGTCTCATTGAATAATTATGTTAATTGTAAAAATTATTGAGGAGGGGTACAATAAATTGTGAAGGGAGGTGATTTTGAACCGATGATCATTTTTAATTTATGTTCTAACCGGTTCCGATAAAACTGGTAAAAATGTTGAGTGGGGAAGTTTGCATAACTCGCGTTTTGTTGGATATTGATCCTAACCGAGGTGGTGAAACTAGATAATGACACCACAATTTGTACTGTTATTACTTTAACAACATTTGCGAGCGAAGCTTCTGGAAATAATGTTTTACGTATATTTATTTGTATTAACTCTACAATCTTTATACAACTTTTATTTGAGTACATCACACTAGAAAATGTGGAGCAAAAGAGAAAAAAGAATAT